TCTGAAAAAAAATCAAAGGAAAAAAAAATCATATTAAATTTAGAGCTATTTACACTTAAATACCCCCAAACACTTATGCCATTTTCAGCTTTGATGGGCCTTTATTATTATTATTATTATTATTATTATTTTGCCCAATAAGACCTAAAGTTGAAAAAAGGAAAAAGAAAGAAAGAAAAACTTATACTCGCTCTTAAGTGATTTTATCTACTTAATATTTATATAATGATAGGGCGCTTTGCCCTATTTTTACTTAAAAAAGTGATTTTAAGGTATCAAAGGTAAATGTTCTTGAAATTAGGGGTGCTTGTTGAAAAAAAACTTTGGAATATCAAAGTTTAAAAAATAATATAAACTTTAGGGTATTTAAGTGTAAATAATCCTTAAATTTGTAAGGTGTTGATATTAAAATTATTTTAAATCCCATTTGGTCAGTATTATATTGAAGGTGGCATATGTTTACATTTTTAGATAGAAAAAAAATTCAATCTGACCTAGAAAGGGGAGACTCAACTTGAACGTTGTTTTTTCCCACTCTCTAATTTTATAGTAAATCACCAAATTAGATTAATAGTAAATTTTGAAGTTTTTGTCGGTTAACTATACAATAATTTATATGTTGCACGCGCTCGAGGAGAAAGGAAAAGTAAAGAAAAACCACTTGGCAATATAAGTACATGGGGTCTTTCTCTGGGTTTGTCTTCTTTCTAGAAATTTGTTGGTGATATCCAAAAATGAATATAACTTAGATTCACAAAAAAATAAACTAATCTCATAGACTAAAAGTCTTACTCTAGAAAACTAGTAGCTTTTCTCCATCGATATGCACTATGGCTTAGTATTACGAAGTTATTATATTTATAATATTAATATTACGATTTTTATAGTTGATTTTATAACAGCACAAACGTAAATTAATATTACTAAAATAGTATTACATAACAAACTAGATAGTATCATGGCATTTCTTCAAAATCTAAATGATTTTAAATAATTTTCCTACTAAAAATTTATATTAAAAAGACTATTTCTAGTCACAATGTTATAACCATCCGGCTGTGATTCACTAACTATCCTTTTTTAATGTTTTTTTTTTGTCCAAATTCATAAATTAGTCCCAACCACTAATCTCCCAACTAAACCGTACTTAAAACTGCTTAATAAAAAAATAGGACAAATTTTTGTTTTAGACCACTTTAGAAACTTATTTGTAAAAAACAACCTACTTTGAAAATATTTGTCAAATTCGACTTAGTTTTAGCCAATTGGTTAAAACTGTATCAAATTTGGTGAAAAAACATCCAAAACTTCACTTGGACTTCAAGTCCCGTGAAGTTTAAGCCCCCATTACTAACTTAATTAACGAAGTAATGGGGGCTTAAACTTCAGGGACTTAAAGTCCCGTGAAGTTTTAGATGTTTTTTCACCAAATTCGACCCAGTTTAAACCAATTGACTGAAACTGAGTCGAATTTGACAAATATTTTTCAAGTAGCTAGGTTGTTTTTTGCAAATAAGTTTCTAAACGCGTCAATTTTGAAATTTTGTCTTTTTTTTTACCATCCGGACGAAATAGGGAGGCAAGCGACGTCCGACATCCTAACCCCCCTCCGGCCGATGCTCCGGTTGAACCTCGCGTCCGCCATCGGCCGGCCCATGTCGACCCGATCATGTCCTCTATCGCCATCATCGGGTACCCCGACTCCGGCACCGGCAGGCTCTCACGTGTCCCCGTCGACAGGTCCACCGTCACGACGACGCCCTCCCCCGGAACCTCGCCACCGCCGACGCCCCTCCGTCGAGCTAGCGCCCGGTCGGGATGCGATCGGACGAGGGCCTTGTCGGGCTTCGTCGAGGACGAGGTCGAGTGGAGACGATGGCGAGGACGGAGGGAGGAGGCAGAAGGGAGGCGAGGAGAGGAGGGACGGAGCGGGTGCGCGCGTTGATCTCCAGCGGACGGATGGAGGGGGCGTCGAGGGGGTGGCGAGTGGGCCGGCGTGGAGTTAGTTCGGCGTCGACTTCGCCGGGCTTGGGTTGATGTTCGCGAGGAGGTCCGGAGGCAGCCGTCGCACGAGCGGGGCGGGGAAGCCACGACAGTCTCCGACATCCTAACCCCCCTCGGGCCGATGCTCCGGTTGAACCTCGGCGTCCGCCATCGGCCGGCCCAATGTCGACCCGATCATGTCCTCTATCGCATCATCGGGTACCCCGACTCCGGCACCGGCAGGCTCTCACGTGTCCCCGTCGACAGGTCCACCGTCACGCGACGCCCTCCCCGGAACCTCGCCACCGCCGACGCCCCTCCGTCGAGCTAGCGCCCGGTCGGGATGCGATCGGACGAGGGCCTTGTCGGGCTTCGTCGAGGACGAGGGAGGTGGACGACGAGGCGAGGAGGAGGGAGGAGGAGAAGGGAGGGAGGGAGAGGAGGACGGAGCGGGGCGCGGTTGATCTCGGGACGGTGAAGGGGTCGAGGGGGTGGCGAGGGGCGGCTGGAGGTTAGTTCGGTCGACTTCGCCGGGCTTGGGTTGGATGGGGTTCCGGAGGAGGTCGACGAGCGGGCGGGGAGCGGATGAAGAGGAGGAGGAGGAGAGGGCGGTGAGGGGGAGGAGGAGGCGGAGGAGGAGGGACTTGGAGTACTCCATTGTTTTGTTGTCTTTGTTGTTGAGGGTTGAGTGAAAGAGAGAGTTTTGGGGTTTTATAAAGAAGAGGAGCGGAAGAACGGAAACTGCAATCGTCAGCATTTTTGGTTATTAGTATTTTTTTTTTTTGAAGTGAGTGGTAGAGTGCTCGGAACGAGCTGATGGTTTTTTTTTTTTTTGAAAAGAGAGGCAAGTAGCCGGATAATTTATCACAATTAATGGGGGGTGCAAGGGAGCAAGGGGCGCATAAATAGTGGCTGGCCACTATGTATTAATAGGTTCCGGTCTAGCGTCTAATGTTTTTATTTTGAGGGAAAACACAACAGACACATTCTAATCAGACCTTGGGGCACATCCCCTCTCTCAGCTAAAGTAAACCCCGTGTACTGTAGCTGAGCGAGGGGGTGTGCCCCAAGGTGTGGCTGGAGGTGTGTCTGTCGTGCCACTCTTTTTGGAGCCAAATTTTGGGCAGACAACGGGGCAGCTGACGTGGGAAGTACTTTTGGGTTTAGGGTGCCATTTTTTATGTCAGGGTGAACGCATTGCTAATTTACTATAGTAAATAAGGGCGACTTTAGAATTTTCAAATCTTGAACCCATTTCTTATCTTCTTCCTCCTCCTCCCTTGAATTTACTCGTGCATCCCCCGAGTCCCGCCTTCACCGATCCAAAATAGCGAATAAAAGCTTTTCGTTTGGAATTAACTTCTCCTACTATGTGCACCCTACGCAAAGCACGACCTCAATTTTTTATATCTGCTATAGTAATTCTGTATTTAAATACAGTTTTTGTAAAAATGCTACAATGATATTTTTTTAAATGATACGGTATCTCATCTGAGCTACAGTAATAATACTACGTTGATAATATTTTTACGTTGCTAATACGGTAATAATACTATAGTAATTTATTGTAGCATGAATAGTGAATGTCAGGCCTTCCTGTTTGTGCTACAGTAATATACCAGAGTAATTTACTGTTAAATGAATAGTAAATCTTGAATACTTGAATTATAGTAGAGGAATAGGTTTGATTTGACCTGTAGACGAAACAAACTGGAATCATACATAACACAACAAAGTATTAGACTCTTTTGGTGATGATTAGGCTTGGGGATAAATCTTCGATAAATTAGTTTTTCCAACCTAAAGCATGCATGTTGTTGGCAGAAATAAACGAAACAAAGTTTTTAACCGGTGATAGAAGCGGTAGGAGGCTAGGTGATTTCTCTTCGTCACGTTATCAAAGATCTTAGCAGCTCAAGCCGCCACAATGGGCGATGCAACACAAATCCCCTATCACTGTCATCGTCGTCTCTCCGCCTAGCTCCATCCATCTCAATAGCAGCGAAAAGCACTGGGAACCTCGTTTGATCGGTGCGTTGAAATAGGCACTGATGCAGCGGAAGCGTGATCAAAAGAGATAACGACTTGTCAAAAATGCTTACACATTTTGATCAGGAATTTTCTAGAAAAATACAGATAAAATCAACTTTTTGTCAAAAATGCCCCTATTCTCTGTTAACTGGCATTTATTAAATCCTGTTGTAATTGACACGTCAGTACTTCATGTCAGCAGTCTCTTAAATCTTTGGCATTTTTGGGTCGCGCTGGCAGGCTCATTTGTCTCCGAAGCTATTAGTTTTGTTTCTGCTTTTGCTTGGATAATAAGGAGCTGTTTGGTTGTATGTTTTTACCATGTAAAAGGATGAAAAGTGTAAAAAGTGGGTCTCAATATCAGCTTTCATCATTTTAAATTGTTTGTTTAAATTCTCTTTTACATGAAAATCTTACACATTTTGATGATGTGTCACCGAAAGCAAAATCACCAAAATTAGGAGTGATTTTGTTGGAAAGCTGACACAATGTCATAAATGTGTTAAAAATAATAATAATCAAAAGAAAGTGGTAAGGTGGATAATCACTTTCCATTTTGTGTCATAAATACTCTAGTATAAATTATACTATCCAAACAATGTAATACTATTATTTTAGGATTCACAAAGATTCATAACCAAACAATATAAACACTCGAATAGAAAGTAACGAGATGAATCACCACTTTCTATTTTGTGTCATAAATACTTTAGTTTCCTAAAAGGATCCAAACAGCTCTTAATGTATAAAAAAGGACCCGTGTAGCTAATAAAAAAACCTATTTGGTCAGCAGTCGTGATATTTGAGCGGCAAACTGAAGATTCTTTTTTTGGCATATATCCCCCTTTGATCCTCCATATTTGCAAAATTACTCTTACATCTAGATTTAAGAAAATAAAACCCAACATCCGTCTCACCCTCCCTCTCATCCTCTCCAATATTTAAAAAAATGATCCTTAGCGAATATGATATTATTATATATTTACTTAGAATTATAATTATGATAAACATAGAATTATAAGTATAATAAACATTATAATTAACTGGTGTGAGATAGAATTAAAAAAAAAGGCTTGCTGTCAACGAGTGGTTTTCCCGCCAAAATTATCCCCTTTTTATCAGCGTGCGTAGCACGTGACCCCTCGGCCTTTCTCAATTTCCTAATTTCTCCACGAAAAGAGAGGAGCCGAAATCGTCGAAATCTCATTTCTAGGGTTTTGCAAATTGACCTCTTAATGGATATACAGAGCCTCCCGATCTCCTCCTCTCACCGATCGAAGCTCCTCGCCGCCGGTTACACGTCCCTCTCTTCTCTCTCCTTCGTCTCCGCTCCTCAACTCGCCGAAGGTACTCTCTTTCTCCCTCTCAAAACCCTAATTTTCTCCAATCAGACTGTTAGAATTCTGATCTTTCGCCTTCAATGCACTACATATTTCTCTCAAAGCCCTAATTTTTCTCCAATCAAAATGTTAGGGTTCTGATCTTTTACCTGCCATGCACTACATATTGATCTCAAAACCCTAATTTTAGGACTGTGTTCTGAGGACTGAACCTAAGTTTGCACAGTGTGTTGAAATGCTTGAAACCGTGGCCTGGAAAAAAAATTAGATAGAGAGAGTGATTTCAGAAGCAAATGACAGGAGGTTACGATTCTAGATTTTGGCTTGATCTATGAATCACATTGACATTATTAGATTTGATTCACTTGCAGGAGATATTAACTGTGTTTTGTATTGATGACTTTGAGGTAACTTGATTTGCACTTTGGTTATTCGGTAGCTCAGCTTCGGTATGATTAACCTAATAGTTTCTTTTAATCTAGTCTAAAATGCTTTTGGAGTCACGCGAAGCAAATTGCATGACAAGATGCATGTACCACAAAAAGATAATTACTGCACTGCTGGAGCCAAAGAACAGTGCTCCAGGCTTCGAAAGGTAGTGCATAAGGATTTTAGAGGGCAAGAGAGATGGTTTTTTTATAGATCTATTAAAAGTTTACAATCAGCTCTAGACTAAAAAATTGTTTAGATTAAGAGGAAATCAACTGCTCTTTAAAAGAGAAATCAAGTGTTCTTTAACAGAGACAGTTAGCGTACTTCTGAGAATGTTCTCTCTTTGATCCTTTATGTGCCAGAGTATGCTATGTGACTGTGCATTTTAACAAGCTCCACGAACACTTTTTTTGATTAAACTATTTAATAGTTCAGGCAGAAAGGTCTTAAACAGGCAAACACATTGTGATACTTTAGCGTGTGATTGTTTCATGTGTATTGATACTTCTTGTTGGTATGACTGAGGACACTTGTTAGGGGAAGAATCCTTTGTCTAAAAATTATTTGACCAGAATTATCTGACTGAATGTGGAACAGATCTGAACATTGCACTTCAGGAAGCAATGGATATCCTCAAGGTTGCATCAGAAAGTAGTTCATCTGCAAGATTAGGTGGCGGCAATGCTATTTTAAATGGTACTATTGTGGGGTACATGTATTTTCTTGCTGCCCAAGGCCTCTGATTTCACAAAAAAGCAATATTGTTTCTTATAGGAGCTCAGACTGCTTGGGACATTCTGTCGGAGGAACAAGCTCTGAAACACATAACTACCAGTTGCGAAGATCTAGATGGCATACTTGGAGGTGGTATTCATTGCAAAGAAGTTACTGAAGTTGGTATATATCCATCTAAACCTCTGTTCAAATGATTTTTTTGCATTCTAAACTAATTAGCAATATGATCAAACATAGATGTTTTGTTTGCCTATGATATTTATATTTCTGCTGAAGACTTGTGACGATAGAGGATATACTTGAAATTTGCAGAAAACATTTGTCTAAATTAAAAGGCAGTTTATGGCTTGGGAATATTTCCATAAACCTGGCATAGTCTACATGCACATGGAGCTGTGCCAGATCCCTGCTTGGAGCTTCTCTCCATTTTTTTTCTTCTTATGCTCTCATTGGCTTTAAGTTTGGAACTGAAATGTGTATGCTTTTCTATTCAATTATCTATAGCTTTGCAGGTGGAGTTCCAGGTATTGGCAAAACACAACTGGGGTATGACTAGTTTTTCATCTTAGGCACCTTAAGTGGGTTTGCAATTTTGGACCAAGGACTTTTCTCATTCCGATATATGCAGGATCCAACTTGCAATCAATGTCCAAATTCCAGTTGATTATGGTGGTCTTGGGGGAAAAGCAATTTACATAGGTAGACATCTGAACTATTTTTCCTTTGATGGCTGCTTGTCAAACTTCTAGAAGCATAATAATATGCTTACGTGCTTCCAGATACCGAAGGCAGTTTTATGGCTGAACGTGCCTATCAGATTGCTGAAGCATGTATCGCAGATACTGGGAACACTTTTCTATATCACCGAAAAGACTTCCAAAATTGTCATGCACAGATGCATCCTAACAATTTCCTAGCCAATATATTTTACTTCCGCATCTGCAGTTACACCGAGCAAATTGCTGTGATAAACTACCTAGAGAAATTTATCGCAGATCAGAAGGACGTAAGCTGTGAATATTTTGGCATATTGCAAACTTTAATAATTACTCGGAATCTGCTTTGAAACTGTTGTTATGATTTATATTTAGAAATTTCTACTTGGAAGGATAGATGCTGCGCATTCGTCTAGATTCTATCTTAAGAATTATCATCTCTTCAAGAACTCTTTAAACTTCCATGCATAAATTTTTTTAACAAAGATATTTGTCAAACAAATGATTTAATAACTGTCCGCAATATTTTTAGGCTGTTTAGCCTTATTCATCATGTATTTTCCCAAAACCTGTTCGTGTTGGAGCACCAAATTAGTAAATTGAAATTTCCATGCTTCTTTGTTATTTGTGTATTAATATCAAAAGTGTAATTACCCTTCAAATTAAATTATTCTTTGCCACTAAAGTCCTAATATGGAATCCAATTGAAGAATGAGATGCAGTGCCATAACAGATTATTTTTTATTCATTTTATTTAACCTTTTTATAGTTCTTCATATGCAATTTAAATATGGGATGCAGTGTCATAACAAATTATTTTTTAATTCATTTTGTTTAAGCTTTTTGTAGTTCTCCAGGTTTGTTTGCTCTATAATTTTAATATTGCAAATTTCTGTTTTTAACAATGATTTAGTGTCGAGCACCCACAATTCCTTTATTTTTTTAAACTTATATTTTTTATATTTTTGAGTAACCTGAGAAAGATGCCTGAGAACTTCATTATTTGGAGAGATAGAGAGAGATGATACATAACATACATAAAGAGATTGAGGGGAGAAGATAAAAGTACAACAGAAGGATTAGAAAAAAAAAAGTTTTATGTACATAGAAGTCTATATCTACTGAACTGATAGTGCTGCTCCTTCTGTCACAGTAACTACATTTCATAATTTTGTTCTTCTCTTCAAGTATTGTGCAAAGTGAGTAGGATCATGACTGTTACTGCCTCATGGTGGAGCGATCTGTGCATAAGGGTTTAAGTGCTTATGAAACTTTCGGAAGAACTTATTCATGACTTTATCCGTTCATTATCTTAGAAAAATAGCTCAATGCATGGATACTTATTTTCTTTTTATAGCTCTGTATTTCTCTTTGTGGGATGTTGTTAATTGGCCCTTTGTATTAATGATTATTTGACCTGTTAGATTGAGTTCTTTCCATAAAGCTTACCGTAGTCAGAAGTCGAGCCGTATGTTTTTTGTATTCAATTCCTTTATTCCACAGGTGAAAGTTGTTATTATCGACAGTGTTACTTTTCACTTCCGCCAAGATTTTGATGATTTGGCCCTGAGGACCAGGGTACTTAGTGGATTGTCATTGAAGTTGATGAAACTCGCGAAAAAATTTAGCTTAGCTGTAAGTAACATTTTTTCCTGAAATGAAAACTTTTACTGCTTTTTATATTCTCTATTGGATGGAATGTGATAATTCAGAAGATTTGACCTTTATGATCCTCTTATATTTAAATATAGTACCAACCATGATTGTTCTTCAGTAACTGTTTGGTGGTGATCCCGATAACCTGACCAAATATTCAAATAAATAAATCATGCGTGTCTTTTTTATCATAATACATCCTTTAGATAACACTATCTGCATGAATGGCATAGAGCGTATGGTCTGATGTAAGTTGGTGTACAGATAATGGCTAGAAATTCTTGAAGTTGGCCTCATACAACTGTTTCCTTTGCCATGGTATTTTCCATGAAAATACTATCTTGAGAACTATTGTACTTCTTATACATGATAGATACGTAACCTCTGTAGTGCTATAATTTTTTTTTTGTGAAGTATAAAATTGCGTTAGGTTAATTCTTCCAACAAATTGTGTCGAATTGATGAGTTGAGACGTGCCTAGTTGTAGCATGGAGTGTGTAAACTAGATCTTGTGCATTAAGTATGATGGCACCAAATGTTTGATTAGTGATGATAATATAAATAGGGATTGATTACAATGGGCTACCATGAGCTGAAGTATGATGTAATTACATGGGTGACCCTGAAGTCTACATAACTACACGGGTAACCCTGAGATTGTTGATTCTAGTTACACAAGTGACTCTAGAATCTGTCAGCAAGTTAACCCTATTTGTTTTTTGTTGATTTATAGTTGCTGGATGTCGGTTAGCATTACGGTATTGGTTAGGGTTGGGGGGCAAGATTAGGGTTATAGCAATGATTACTCACTAAAGTCTCATTGTTATACTCCTAACCCTAACATTAAAGTCAGTAATGTTGCTGTAATCTTAACCATAACTCTAACCATAGTTGTAACCTAACTGTAATCCTAACTAACATTCAGAAGGAACTCCAAGCCAGCAAAAATCAAATAGAGTTAACTTGTTGAGGTATGCGGACTTCAGGGTCACCTATGCATTTACATCATATCTGAGGGTAATGGAAAATAATTAATCCACATAATAAAGAAGAATTTCAGAGGCGACAATTGGAGAGAATTTGACAAATTGGATGACATGTCAAGCCCTTTATTTCAAAAAAAGGTTTCCATATCTGAAACTGCTTCAAAGGTACAATCTTGTGTTCTTGTGATTTATCGATTATATCCACAAACATGGTTTCCATATAAAAGGACTTCTATTCAGGATTATCTGGAGTTGTTGAATTGCTGTTTCTGCTGAACTTGCCTATTGACCCTGCCTTTTCCTTGTGTGCAGGTTGTTTTGTTGAACCAAGTAACAACCAAATTTAACGATGGCTCATTTCAGTTAACACTTGCCCTAGGTAAATATTTAGTTTCTTCCAGACTTTTTTCACTCTGGTTTTCATCATTCAAATTCTTATTCTCTGTGATTCTTCTCTTTTTCTTTTTTCCTTTCTGGGTTTTTTGTTGAATCTTTGGTTAGCTTCCTGCTAGTTTCTATTTTGCTACCAGTTTTAAGGATATTTTTGCGTGTACGGACGTGTGTGAGACAAATAGACCTCCAGAGGTAAAAGTCAAAAGAAACTCAAGGGGCTGATCCACAATTGGGTGATAGTAA